CAATAATCCACAAGTAATCCACAGCACTCCAGTCCATCAGTTAACATCTGGAGAAGACAAAAGCTGAAACAAATCCAGCATTAAGTAAAACTGTTGCTTCCGGCTAAAATACGAGTCCATGATTCATAATAACCAGTGAAAAAAGTCCATCTTCTGTTGTCTCTCACATCAAAATCCAGCCACATACTGATGGACTGGAGTGTTGTGGATTATTGTGATGTTTTTATCAGCTGTTTGGACTCTCATTCTGACGGCACCCATTCACTGCAGAGCAAGTGGTGCAATGCTACTTTTCTCCAGATCTGATGAAGAAACAAACTCATCCTAATCTTGGATGATTTGAGGGGGAGGACATTTTCAGTACATTTTCATTTTTGGGTGAACTACTCCTTTAAGGAACCAGAACTAAAAATGGAATCACAGTCATTGAATTTCTAACGATTCCCTCCTCTACTGCTGGTCTGTAGTCCATAAATTAAATCTGGTTGCATTGACTCTGATTTGAATGTCTTTTGAGATTAAACTTGCCTAACTAATCCAATCTTCTTGAGTTAGCTGGTCTTCATAGATGCTTTTCTCCTCCGTCTTCAGTGGTGGTTTTCCAGTGATGCTTTTCCCCTCCATTTTCTGTATTGTTTTGCTCAGAGTGAATCAAATAACTATGTGGAACCAGGGTCCTGCCTAGTCGTTGCATCACTAGTTGAGTTGTCTGCTGCTAATTAACCAGGGTTGTGTCTTGGTAGAACTGTCCACACTGTAGTCATTACACTCGGCGGAGCGGTAGGGTTCGGTGTGCTAACTCTCTAATGTGGCTTACTCTCTGCTCTCTAACGTATGTGCTAGTCCTAAACTGGTCATGAGCTGGTTTAAGCTGGTCATATGCTGGTCCTAAGCAACTAGCTCCTGCTCAGGACCAGTTTAGGACCAGCATATGACCAGCTCATGACCAGCTAAGGACCAGCTCAAACCAGCTCAAACCAGCAGTCATGCTTCAAAACATACCTAACCAGCATATGCTGTTTTTTTCAACTGGAACTCATCTACACATGTTTATAATCGTGCATACTGTTCTAACTCAGACTTCCGGGTGAACATGTTTTTAAATAAAGACTGAAGGAGTTATTGAAGCTTAATGGAGGGGATGTTGATGCGACCATGATGTAGTTCGTTTATAGCCTACGTTTAGCTTTTTACTCCCGCCGAGGCTTCAAAATGTGTCCATTTGTGAAGATTAGCATGAGCAAAATGTGTAATCATTCAAGAGCCAGTGGAAAAGTCCTATTGGGATTTTGTGGAGGGAACCAGGTTGGCGCTAACTTACGTGTCGGCCTAAAAAAATACGTCGCTGCTGCTGCGCTGTATTGCTGCTTGACGAACACATCAAGTGACCAACCACAGCTTTCTTGGTTTTAACATGTGGAAATGTGTTTAAATAATAATTTGCCTGATTGAGGAAGTGCTTTCTAGTTTCATGTGTCGTCCTGTGGAAACTGCTCAGCTTAGTGATAAATGGATACAGCCTCTGATCTTCATCTTTTAAGCGTGTGAAGAGCATTTCTGGGTGGTTTATAGAAAAAAGTCAGGTGTGCATTTGGTATTTGACACATTGCAGACCTTTTGAAAATGAATGATTTCGGTTGCTTTGCCATTGCAAATCGCTGTCAGTATGAACAGCCCTTAAAACTAGGCTTGGAGTTGAGTGTGTGTCGTGTGGACATTTCTGATCCTGAAGCTCATTTCTGTGTTGCTGACAAAAATAGCAAAGCAGGACCTTCTGAAAACCTTGTTGCCGCTTGTTTTATACTAGTCATGTTGTCTCTTTTGCAGTGTTTTACATATTGCAGTTGTGACTTGTGTAATGTAATATCTCGTTATTTTTACATTGCATCTCGCAATTGCAACAAAACAGTGTTTTATGAGTTTTGGAGCCGTATATTTAGTAAATGTTGACCAATCTGTCTCTCTTAACAGGTATGACGAGTGGATCAAAGCCGATAAGATTGTCAGACCAGCCAATAAGAACGTCTCTAAAATAAAGCACCGCAAAAAAATAAAGGTACAGTCTGATTTCCTTAAGGAGGTTTTCTTTTTTTGCTTGTTTTTCAAAAGTTTGGGGTCTGTAAGACTTTTTAAACGTTTTGAAAGTCTGTTCTGCTCACCAAGGCTGCATTTATTTAATCAATAATACAGTAAAAATTCTGAAATATTTTTACAATTTCAAATAACTGTTTTCTGTTGTAATATACTGTAAACTGTAATTTATTCCTGTGATCAAAGCTGAATTTTCAGCATCATTACTGCAGTCTTCAGTGTCACATGATCTTCAGAAATCATTCTAATATGCTGATTTGCTGCTCAAGAAACATTTCTCATTATTATCAATGTTGAAAACGGTGACATGCCCAATGTTTTTGTGGAAACCGTGATACATTTTTGTTTTTACTGTGAATAGAAAGTTCAAAGAAGAGCATTTATTTATATTTTATAAGTTTAATATATCCTTGCTGAATAAAAGTGATTTCTGATTTCTTTAAAAAAAAAAATCTTACTGACTCCAAACTTTTAAACAGTAGTGTATTCTTCATGCATATTCATATTTAGAGGGGCTGCACCATTCATTTGAAGTTTTTGTTTAATAGCAGAATAAAGCAGAACGAGAAAGAGACCGAATAGAGCGACTGACAGACAGAGAGGATCTTCCTTCATCCAAAAATCGCATCAATCGACTGTCCAAACCGAACTCTGGCAGTGATGTTTTCTCCAAGATGGAGGAGTGTGGTGATAAAGGAAGCCAGCAGACGCCCGTCAAGCCCATAGAGATCACATCCATTCTCAATGGCCTCCCAGGTAGTGGTCTATTTGGCATTTTTCAAATATCGGCATCGGCCGATACGTTTTTCTGTTTGGCCGATGCTTTTATTTTTACGTCACGCCGGACTTTTATTTTGATGGCGCTGAGAGCGGCAGCGCCTGAGCACATAGTGCTCACCTTCTCCCTCTTGTTCGCCATCGTCGTTAACAGTTCTGTCTAATACGGATATAAGTCTGTCTAATAATCCGATAGAGCTGTTAAACAAAGGAATTAAAATGTATACAAAAAGTATTATAACGATTGCTTTTATATTATTAGTAATAGAAAGGCAAACATTATAATACTTTCTCGTTTGCCGTCAGCATTCAGCAAATACGCATTTACATAATTTAAACAAATCTTTGAATGACTAATGAACATTTAATCTCACAAACCTCGCAGACTTAGTCGAATCCAGTTGTGAGATCTTGTGAAGTGTGCATGTGACCTGCATGATCGCGTGTTCACTGTGTGACTTTTGGTCCGTGCAAATTGAATGCTTTAAACATAAATTCGTGATTTCAAATTATGCTGC